AAAAATACTAGTTTTCTCATCACTGTGCCCTAAACAGCATAGTAAAACTGTTGTCGTCTTCTGTTAAATATTTGCCTTGAAAATCGAGGCAACATAATCTCTGTGCCACCCACCCCCGGAAGCTAAAGGGAAGTAGACTGAAACCCAGAACGTATAAACTGGATATGAGACGCACGAATCATGACCGTTTCTAATTTTATCTTGTAAGATACTGGCCTTAGCTCTGCCTGAGTCACGAAGCAGATAACGCACCCGGCGTTTTCCCGAAGACCTTAAGCGAGACTGAAGGGTGTATATGTATAGACTTGTATGAATATAAAGCAGCAGAAAAGGATATTTTTACTATGGTGTGAAGGAAAAGCGAATTTTATAAATTATCTGGTTTTGTTTCGATTCGCTCGTAATACTGTTTTTTTAAAACTCGATCCTTTTATGCATGTAATCTAAGAGGGGCAACCTTTTGCATATAACATAGTTAAAGCAAAAGGCAAAAAGGACCAAAAAGCACTGTAAAATTTAAAACATTACAAAATAATAAAAAAATCGTCATCAATGCTTACCTTGGTCTCCACGATATCTCCGTCGATGTTATCTGAATAAATGAATATAAAAAATTAGATAAGAACGACAATGTATTTAAATTACATTATATTACTCCTGCTACTTCTGCACTGCCACTTACTCTGTTCTTCTAAGTTATGATGATTGGCTTTTATTGTAAAAAAAAAGAAATAAAATAAAAAAAGGAAGAAAAGGATACAGTCAATAACTAACTGTGCTTCTGTTTTAGCCGAGATTTCCATCTACTGACAATCTTAAATGATAACAGAGTGAAAGAACTCGATATAAATAAGAATATATCAATAATAATAATAATAATAATAATAATAATAATAATAATAATATATAGAACTATTTTTACCTCCATAGATTCCTGCTACTTCCATCCAGTCCTCTGAAGGGAGCTTGGGTCCTCCTGGGGGTGCTTAAAACAGGAAATGAAGATGTAACAAACATGCATTTAATAGAACCAGACTTTAAAACATTGAAAAGTTTCTCTAGATAATAAAATGTAAAAAAAAATAATAATAAGAAATAAAATGGATAAAATGAAAACAAAACGATACGACTTTTCTTCTTTACTCGCCAATCTTGGCTTAAAAATATGAAATATGGAAATCATTCCTGCAGTAATGCAGTAATGAAAGTTAAAATCAACGCCACCATTAATCAAATGCATGTTAACAACGTCGTTCAGTTACCTGCATTGAGTCCTACAGCAAACACACATAGAAGCGCTGACAACACGACCGTCGAAGCCATTTTGCTTGTGTGGTGACTGCCGTATTCTCCCCCTGCCTTATACACCGTACTTACAGAGTGATCCAAAAAGTCTGTTCCATTTGTAAATGTTTTTAGTTCAAGGATAGAATAACGTAAATTTAATTGTAAATAATCTGAGTAATTGTTTATAGTTTATTATGAATGTCAACGTCTTTTGATGACTACAGGCACTTCACTTATTTATCGTATTTTGCTACTCATTCAAAGTATATGTGTATGTAAATTGCCGAAAGTGTACTAAAATTCCATGTTAACCGTTTTATCTTTATTGGTTGCTCTTGTATGGACACGCCTAAGCATGCCGGTAAATTTGTACATGTACGTGGATGAAATGAATAGCTGATATTTTGTAAAACAAAAATGTTTTGAAAATTGTTTTTGTGAGCCACTGTACGCTTTCAGACCACCTCGATACCGAGTTTGTAAGTACTAGTCACTGGACAGATGGACCAAGTTCACATGTATTTCAAATGGACTAAGTGAGACTCGATTTAACTGCTGACTACTGTCCCATTTCCAATCGAGTGGGAGACTCCGCAGCATAACTCCACATGCAGCTTGCGCAATGCTTTTCTTTTTTACCGGTATATGGGTTCGGTTGAAAACCTACAGTACAGGCCTATTTCTTGACTAGTGTGTGTGTGTAAGGGGGGGGGGGGGGGGGCTGTTTGTATCATTTTGACCTACTAGCACTCAGTGTAGGTTACCGCAGAATGCAGCCGATTTGACTAATCATATGTGAGAGTGGGACGAATCCTGGACACCTGGGAGAACAAACTGTGATCATGACGCTAGAAGGAAGTGTCCCAAAACTCAGAACGCCACAGATGTTAAGGCCTACAATGAGCGTTAAAACTTTATATTGGAAAAATAAAATAACACTTTGTCTAGAAATTGCAACACTATTTCAGTAATCACTAAGGTTTATCATAACCAAAAACCGTTCACAGAATTACTATCCATATGTCTGTTTTTCAAGATTCTACTCTTTGGGCCTCGTAAAGCAGATAAAGACTGGTGAACTTCACTAGTGACGATGAAAATGGGAAGTACATAGACTTACAAACGGATAGATTGTCCATTTTTAAAGGGTGATAAAAAGGAAACGTCTCGTTTTTACTCTGTGGAACGAAATCAAGGACACGTACAATGATAAAAATAGTTTCCTTGATGTGAAAAAAAAGACTGTAATGTTAAGAACCTAAATAGCATTATAATAATTTATTTTCAGGTTTCTACTTTTTCGATGACTTGTGTGCAAAGGCATATTTAAATATTAATATTTTATTTTGAAAGTTTCTATGGAAGTCACTTTCGAACTGCCTAAATAGTCATTTTTGACAGTTAGATACACCGATGATCTTTCTTTGAGATCCTACATATATGATATTCATTTCAAAGCAACCCTGTGAAAAAATTCTTATTGAAAAACGTGTATCTGTCATTACAATATAACAGCCATTGCCGATTTACTTATATTATTAACCAAAGAGTTAAAAAAAAGCTTTCAAAATGCTCAGCATACGCTTGGAAAAATATATTCGGGTAATATGACTGTGTCATGTTTATATATAAAATCCTGCAATCAGGATAGAAGCTGCTGTCCAAACGAGGCTATATGTCGACCTTGACCTTGGCCTCGTTCCAGTGTTGCACAGGGTCGTTGTGCAATAACACACGTGGAGGTTTTCTCCTGACTTCGGTTCGTCCCAAAAGCATTGGTCTCTATCTTCGTCTGCGCAGCCTCGCTCGATATGTTGTGTTGCTAAAAGTAACATTAAATTATTTATAAAATTAGAAATTAGTTTCCCATTCACCAATTTTTCATGGACGGGTTTATATAAGAGATCAAATTATCGTGCCTGAAGTGACATCGTTCATTATCCTCTACTGTCATTTTAGCCCATGCAGCTACGTTCATTGTGGACCAATTTGTTATAAAACCTAATCCCAAATCGCAAAACCCTTAAACTCCAAGTCGTTTTGTGAACCACTTGCCAAAAATTAATATGGATTAAACTATCTTCCTTTTTCCTTTACCATTTAGTTATACCCATTGTAATTAATGCGTGTCACATCAGAGCGTGCAAAACACCAATAAACACATTATCCTATTGATGAACCGTGCTCCTCTCGTTAACACCTTAAGTCATAAAATTACGCAAGAAGGACTATAAACGACTAGATATTATCTCATTTCATTCTATTGCAGACCCCAGTAAGTGCAGTTTGCCTTTCAGTACATGTATATCACGAATCAGGCGCGGTTTGGCCTCCGATGTATTGATTATCCTACAGAATCAAGGTTAAAGACACTTGTTTCGAGGGTTGTCCAATAATAAAATACAAGCCATGAGATTTGTCACTAAGTCCATGCATCTTTGTGGTAATTAAAAAGATCGATTTTAGTTTGGAAAGAATCTGATATCCCAATGCTCCCACCTACAAAAGATGCCTTTCAATTTGCCTCCCCAATTCACTCCTAAAAAGTTGCGTTAAATTTAATTACGCCTTGGAGTAGACAGTCGAATTTAGATAGACTACATTAATTGTGAGAATAACAGTTCACCTTACATATTGCTGACGTGCCAAAACCGGTTATTGTTACTTTTGGCAGCAAAATCATCAGTACAATGATCATTTTTAGACCAATGGCTACTCCTTTTCATTAGTTTACTGCAAATATAGTCAAAACTTCCATCATTTTCTACTTAAAAGGCAAACCTGCATCCAATCTGACGTTCTTTTGTGATACGGGCACAGAGTTCTAATTGAATTAACGTAGAGCAAAATATTGTGCTCAAGTTAAAGCCCAACTTTCGCTTTAAAGTCAATCGGGGTAAGACTTCAACAAGTTTCTTTATTCACTCACTTTTTTCGTGTCGTGTTTGTTTAATGCATCCGTGAGCGCAGTCCCTCGTTAAGACACTGTAGTCCTTTTTATGCGGGAACGGGTCCCTGCAGTGTGGATTGGAGTCGCTGCAATCGTAACAGCGGATTGCTGACACTGGAAATAAACAGATCTTGACCTTACATAAATTATTCCAATATCCCATTGCTTTGCACGTTATGTGGTATCGTAATGTTATGACTTAATATGATATCGTGTTATTATGAATTTATCAGATATCACAATGTTATGATGTATGAATTAATGTAATATCGTAATTTTATGACTTGATGACTTATCTTATTGTTATGGCGTTATGTGATGTCGCAATGTCACGATCTAATGAAATATTGTAACGTTATGACACAATAACATATGCCATTATGACATGATTTAATATCGTTTTGTTCAATAATCACAGACAGCAGTAGGCGTTTGCAGTTAATATGTTTTCGAGCCTACAAACTTATCTTCAGATCAAATTTGACTGCAACTGGTACAAGCGAAAAAATAAAATTATATAAAATAAAATAAAATAAAATAAAATAAAATAAAAATAAATAAATAAATAAATAAATAAATAAATAAATAAATAAATAAATGGATTTTTTATGTTATTTCCTGTTTCTAGTATGAACTAAGTTATGGAAAATACTCGAGGTGCGCGAGCTTATGGCAATAAATACCTATTGAAGTGGGAACAGAGAGTTAAACGTTCGATCTGAATGTCCCTATGGACATATTGCAACCCCCTGGATACGGTATTTCGATTGCCTGACGCATTATCGTGTAACCATTTCCCATGACAGAACAATATTATAACGCCCTTAAAAGATACAGCGGTCATTAAAAAAAGGTTCCTGCTGTTTTTAACACTAGGGAAACACATGCGAGATCCAGCTGGAGTATTCAGAGTCACAGTTCCATGCAGCAGGGGCGGTTTTAGCCAATCCACAAAGTTAACGCATAGAAAAAAATTACCTTAGCTTTTGTAAGCCTTGCCCTATGCACCAAAGTTCTTATTTTCCTGCATGAGGAGTGCACTGCTGTTTTTACCATAAGGGAAACGCATGTTATAGATTAAATTCAACTGGAACATTCTGAAACAGTGTGCAGACAATTTGATTATCAAGTTCTTGTGTTCCATCATGGCGCTTTCACTCCCCATACAAGATAATGCATCTATATACCGACGAGTGCATCCGTTACTTAATTATGCCGTGTTATTTTAATCCGCTTCGGGACTCCATTCTAATTGGTAATTTAGTCTGTTTAATGCATCCCTCCTATAACGGTGTACACGATGACCAATTACGTAGGGATCGATAAAAATAGAGTTTACGGGTAATGGCGAACGTGAACGGGATCTTTGGCCAATTTTAGGTAAATGGTTGTTTCTCTGTCTATCAATTAGTCTCCGTGTCTGTCAGTCTTTTATGTGCATGTGCAATCCAGTTTTATTTCAAGAATAAATATCATCATTATAAACAAGTTAATTTTAATTAAGCTGTAGAAACTACAGGATAATTAAGATACATACAATAAACATTTCATAGTACATTATATTAATGGAGCACGGTACACATGGAAAATCAAAACGAAAATCAATGTAGATTCATACAAGAAAGGAGATAAAACACACTTAAACAAAATTGGCATATGTACTTGTATACATATATATTGATTTGTGCCGCCGTCGTTGCGAAGGAAGTAGTACTGAATGGAAAGACCGCGCTGAGCGGAATCACAAAAGTAAATCGTTGCAAAGAGATAGCAATCGATAATATTGCTGATTCTCAAGCGCTGAATCATCAATCTGTGCTTAACATGAAGGGGTGTGTTCACACGTGGCTCAATGGAGAAAGCCTGATTTGATATACACTGTCGTCGCCGTCTGCACTGCAATTAAGCAATTTTGTTAAAGTGCAAACAACCAATATTGCTTTGAATGCGGCTAAAAGAAGAGATTCAGGAATAAATCCGTTGTTACAGAAAGTACAATTTTATTAAGTTTGCAAAGGTGACATAGTCCCATTTACTGCTCCCTGCAAACTCTAACCTGTGTCTTTTGTATGGGATCCCGGACTTCCGTACCTAGGACTAATTCCCAAGCCTAATTGCAATGATAAATGTGCCTCGTTTAGTAAAATGGATGAAATGAAATTCGATCTTAAAGAAAGCCCGTGTGAACCCACGGTCTTTGATCTAAATCACGGTTCAGCGAGTTTGGTAATTGGAATCCGAGTGAGTGATGTGCGTAGCTGGACGTGAAATTAGGTATAGGTATTGTGCCAAACAAGCTGTCTCGTTCAGAGAATTGGGAGATGGCAGAGAGAGAGAGAGAGAGAGAGAGAGAGAGAGAGAGAGAGAGAGATGAAAGTGAAAGGAGGGGGATTAAAGAAAGACAAAGAGGTGACAGGTCGGATTATGCATGAAGATACATGTAGGTATCATCAAACGTGTTTTCTTTGTACTATCCAAACGCAGCAAACACCGTCTTCGTCTTAATGATGCTTTGACCCTACAAAACCATCTACTGTTTGATAATATATGTTTACATGCTTTGTACATGTGCCTCTACAATGGCGGATCATAGGAGGCGAGAAAGGTACGTGGGGTGTGGGGTGTGAAGAGGTGGGGTGTGGGGTGTGAAGGGGGTAAAGTGTACCATATACATTCCTTAATCTCCAAGGTACCCATGGCCAATTCTTTTCTTTTCCCCTGACACCCATTTTTACAGTCCTGTTCATATATAGCCTAGTGCAAAATGTCCTTGCCTGCAGAACGAATGGAGGGAATCTCATTTCATCTTTACTGCCCCCCCCCCACACAGGGGCAGATCCAGGATTACTTGAAGGGGGGGGGGGGTCCGGTGGATGCGAACCCCCCCCCCCCCCCCCCCCCCCCCCAGTTGGCGTTGGCGTGGGGTTCGGGGTCCGCTGAAAAAAATGGTATTTTACAGGGCGAACAGTGCCATTTGGTTTCCCTGACCCCACTTTCGGTTTCCCCCCTCTAAATCCGCCACTGCACACACACACCCTGAACAGAATCCTAGCTCTCCCACTAACTGTGATGAAGGACTTCCTATTTTGATAATTCTACATTTTACATATTTGAAACACATTGATTGCAAGCCAACTGGCCTTTTCTAACAAAATAATCCCAGTTAATTACTTTCTATCAAGATAAAAGACCAAATGCTTTCATTTAACCTCCTTACAATGCTGTACAATGAAAGGATGCCTTCAAATATCTTCCAAGTTATACATTTTGAGACAAACATTAAATTTTCATATCACATGTCGGATCTACAGAAACAGCCGTTTGCCATATGTTGCAGGCAACGCAATGCATAATTAAACTGAATCGCATACATAGATCTTATTACTTTAATTGTTAAAAGCACAACCACTTAGTCAGGTATATGACCTGTGGCATTGAAGTTAAACCATGGTTAAGACATCTGCGTTTTCTATACACATGAGTTTGTTCTCTCTCTTACACACACACACACACACACACACACACACACACACACATCCTCTCTCTATTTCACTGTCATCAAAGGGACATCAAAATAACATAATGATAACAACCAAGTAAGTCACCCATTACAGAGTAATTTGCAGGTTTAATAAAAGTCAATTGTACCAGTAGCAAATTTTCCAAAGGGCAAGGGTAGAGTGACAGAGAAAGGTAGTCCTAGGTATGGAAGCCCGGTGTCCCATATGATTAGTACAGGTTAGGCTTGATCCGGGTATTGGGGTAAATATATAAGACGAATGTCAATTGTACAAAAGTAAGGGGGGACGGACTACGGTTCCTAGCAAACCACCATTCCTGTCACACCTCCACTCACATTGGCGGGTACGTATCATATAAAAATTAATTCAGTGTAATTAGTCGTTATAGATAGGGACCTAACACGCTGCCTTCAAGTTTTGCTGCCATTGGATTACGCTACGGAACACATGCCCTGTTTGTCAACCACTTTGGCTTTAATCAAATACCAGCTTAAAGCTACAACAGAATACTGTGCACTATCTTCAGTCACATGCATCAGAGCAATTACAATGCGTATCCACACTGGGTTGTAATAAGTCACCTTACCTTTGGTTAACTCGCTTGATACCAGCGTCAGGAATATGAGAGCTGCGTGCAGATTCAGGCTCCTCATTTTCTCGCGGCAGTGTTTTCAGCATTGCCAGGAACGCCGTAGGAGCGGTTACTGTAAATACAGTGAAACCTATAGAATTCCGGCAGGAGATATAGGGGATAGGTTATATATATAGAGAGAGAACTATATCTGGCTGTATGACGGCTGCTTTTATGACCAAGATGAGACAAATACTGGTGCATGTTTTAGAGAAATCTTACCGATGCGAAGGTGGTTCTTCTTCAGCTGTTGCAGGTAGCCGTATGTGGTATACAAGAACAAAGCTGACGCCACGCCACTGGCTTATGCACAAAACATGACCATATTCTGTTGAATTCTTCCTCCAATTAGAACCGCTGAAACCACCAAGCTGAGTCTAGGACAGCGCAGCAGACGTCATTACAAATGTAAATGCATTCTGCAACTTTTCGAACAACTGAAAGTACGAAAATAGCTATATCAATATGTGTATATCCGATGGTTGTCTTTGAAACCAATGAAGCAGACGAAGCCTGGCAACTGACATATGCATCTGTAAGGACCAACTTTGGAAGGTTTCCATATTGTTACACCCAACAATTACATTAAAAAGTTGTTTTGTGTCATAGAGGGCGCCATTGGTCTATTAGACAAGTTTTGTTTCTAATTTACATCCCCATTAAACCAGTGAGAAGGAGAGAGGAACAACAACTGAATGTTCTTCCTGCAAATAATGCTGGTGGCAACGGCCTAATTTCCCTAGAGAGGCTTTTTTCTGTTAATTTTCGTTACAGTTAAATCACCAAAGCCCCTTTTTGACGCTGTGATATGCGCATGGTATCAAGGCCGTGAAGCTAAGAGATGGTCTAGTCTATATCTGGTTGGTCTAGTAAATATGTAGTTCTATAGAGTTTATGTAGAGCGAAACAAAAAATACGAAGATGAGTTTGTTCATTTCTCTTGGTAACACGTTCCAATTATTTTTGCCACACAGTAAATGCTATCACTTATGTTATCACATATAATTTTAACCCTGCATTGTCTATTAAATTGATACTGGCGTTTTAGCAATAATAATCATTCACTTTGGAACAGTTATTATGGGACAGCTAATCTCTTGTCACAATCGGCCTCATGCTCTTGTGGCAAGAGCGAAACCTAGTTGTTAATAAAAATTCCAAAGTGAGCGATTATTATCACTAAAACATCATTAGACATTACCTCGTAATTTGTGTGGAGTCACAAAGTAATGGTTAACAAAGCTTTGGCGAAACTGCATAACGACAAGGCAATAATGCACCACTCAAACCTGTCATCTTAGCTGTGCCAAGATCAATTCAATTAACAGGCAATTGAAAAACAGCAGGTTATTCAGCATATGCTTTGGGGTTTATGTTTATTCAGGCTCTTATGATGAAAGCTTGGCACGATGCAATCATCGTTTACAAAATTGATGTGACATTTATGTCATTTATAGCAGACCAAAATGGAAATAAGGTTAAAAAAGAAGACAGAATTGTCTAACTATATTTAGTATTAGTTGGATATGGATGGGTAGGAAGGAGGGGCCCCTGAGCGTGCGCACATCCTATACAGCGTCTGTTTTTACCCCCCCCCCCTTTTGCCATCTCACCATCAACCCCCTCTCAGCTAAACCCCACATAAGTTTATGATTAGTATGTGTGTGCTGATGTGTACTTGTATGTAGTGCATGTATGTTGATTGTTGCACAGTGCATTGTACGATATTCCAGTCTTTGCAATAAATACAAAAACATCTTGTATCATTTTTGTCTTTTATATTGTTTTGTTTTTATTCAAGAGGGGCGATCCCAGTGTAGGTCCGACCACATCGATCTTGGTGACATGTACAGTGATGATTGCACTGAAATAGCTCTAGAATTTCGATCGAAATATCTCACCTACTTGTTTACTGAGTTCAGTCTATGGCAAGAAGTTAAAAAATATATAAATTTTAAACATTATTAGTGTGTTAAATATGGTCATATTTGCAAGATCCCATACATTCACAAATAGAGGTGACAATATACAAGGTGATGAAATTAAAAAAAAAACCTTGCCAAGATTCAAACTCGTAGATTTGATTAGATTGCTTTCCTTATCACATTTACTGAAATTGCGATTCCTAGGAGCCCGGGGAGCTTTCTGAACAAGCCACTTACTGTGATACAAGTGAGCAGAGCGCATTCGATCCATTCCTTTCACACGAATTCGAAGGAAGTGGTAGATAGTGCTTGACTGGAGAGAGCGTTGGTTCAGTAGAGGTTGGTCTATGAGAGAATATAAACATACCATCCCTGAACAGACCTGGTGGGTTTCTACTCCCTTCCTGGCTTTCTATAAATTTTAAAAGTTTTTTTTTCATTTGAAGAACTACTAAACGGCAAGACTATAGCGACCCATGTGCTCTTGTCCGTAGTGGACTGAGCTTCTGGACATTCTGTGCCGTTTGTCTCCTGACATCAATGACAAAGCGTTCATAATAAAGCAAAGGCTCTAGCTGAGGCAAATTCGAAGGGTGTTCTAAAACGGAATAGAGGCATATTAGTTAAATTTTATAATAGCTAGTAGATCGACTTCTAGTAGAGATGTGTTGGAGTCTTTGGGAGATAGATAAATATGTCGTCGCTCATACCATCTCCTTATGTGAGTTGCCCAGTATGAGATATAATTACCATTCTTTATAAATTGTGTTAAAAATTGAAAGCCAGAGCATGCAAGCGGTGTGACCCCATTGCCCCGGTTATAAACTAGGCCGTGTTAACATCTAGAAATGATCTTAGTTCAGCTCCGTTGAAACTAAATGGCGATTTTGATTAGGTTTGCATACAGCACAGCAGATGATGGGAATTCCTCGTCAATATTTTCATTTTTCATAGTCTCAGAGGATAGCAACAGCGGAGTAAGTACATGTACGGCTTTTACAGTGGTTTATGCAAGTGCAATAGGCCAAATTCACTCGTACCACGATTCCGAATCGATCCGAAAAACGGCACTATTTTCCCATAACATACCAGCCTTACTAACATTTGTGAACCCATACATTCGCAATCAAATGAAGTCACCGACTAAAAATGAATGCACTTGGTGTACATATATTATATTATATTATATTATATTATATTATATTATATTATATTATATTATATTATATTGATTCGAAAAATGGCTCCATCGCCTATACATGTAATATACGGGCAATATTAACATTTGTGATCCTTTATTCGCAATCAATTGAAGTCACCTACTAAAAGCCCATGCAGCTTGATGTATATATTATTAAAATAGACTTCAGTCACATCAATGAATAAACTAGATATTGAGGACGTGGTGTGCGGGTGTTGTTTTTGTGACTGACAAAAAGGACTCATTAGATCTTGTGTTTGCCTCGGTTTAGTGGGCTATGATTCTTAGCTGGCTTTGTGACAACATATTCTCAACTAGACGCCGTTAACGTTGTGACGTATCAGTACATTGTCGTCAGAATCCAAATTTGGACTAAATCACGATGCAGGACACCGTATTGTGACGGTGTGAAGTAAAGTAAATGATTGTATGTAACGAGGTTGCTTAACGTGCTGGAGAAACACCACGAAGGTAAAATTACGTCTGGAGGATTTTGGGGAAGTTCCGGACATGTAGCCCTTTTGGGAATCAAGTGATAGTCAGTATTGACGTTTGCGTAGACTAATTACTGTTAAAAAGGACTAATGACACCAGAAATCGAACACTTTGAAAGCTGATTTAATTTGTGACGCAAAGCGAATTATGGAGGCTGATTGTTAATCAGATATTGCGCTTGGTCATTCGACATTTACAAAGGTAGATTGATTGATTGATTCTTTATTGCCCGCCTGTACTTCTTGTAATTAGTGTCATCTCATGGCTGGGATCTGCTCATGGCTGTGAAAAAAAAAAATACAAATAAGCGGTTGGCGTCAGTCAGGTCGAAAACATTCGGTCTCGGTCAGTGAAATGTGAATGCAGCACCCAGCAATCAGCGTACGCCAAACTTATCAGCACAGTAAGTTTTCAGTAATTACTTCTCTAGGGCATCTCTGTCGGTCTCTAATCTGTCTCTGGAGACATGAGCATATTCTTCCATTCTTTGCAGATTGAAGGTGTTTTCAGATTTGGTGTCAAGGATCCTGCGATCTGTGGATATTATAACGGTAAATTTCAAGTGCTTTTAACACGCGTGCCATGTGAGTGATTGAGTGATCCTAACTCCAATTCACCCAAATTGATACCCGTTCGATCCATTTAAGAGTAAGCTAAACATAGTAAGCACTCTCATGATTACGTTCTGCGCATAGTTTATGACAGAAACTAGATGCTACAGATAATCCGTGAATGCAAATCAAGATCTCCCTCCCTCTCTCTGTCTCCCTCTCTCTCTCTTTCATACTGAATCATGCCATCATCTGATTTCCCTTTATACGCATAATTCATCACAGTGGACCACCAGGAAGCAGCATACCCATGACTAACCTAGAAATTCAATCAAAAAATCAGTCAAAGAAATCAATCATGTTTTGAGTTGAGTGGACACGTGCAATGTTATTCGGTTAATCAAACGTGATTTGTACCCATAAGCAACTGATTAGCTATTAACGACAATGTCATAAACAAGTCCTTACGCATTGTGTTATTGTCTCTGTTTAGGCACAGTGTGCAGCGGACACATGTCATTCTCTCGCTGTTTGAGATTTATTGAAACTTTTTATCCTTGAGCCATTCCATACCCCAGTCAAAATTCCTGCTTCCGCCACACCCTCATCTGCAAGTTGCACTTCAAACATGCTTTAGGCATACATGTAGGTCTGCTGACTCGAAAGGCGCAAATCAACCATATGAATATAGATTACATGTCTATTTGAAAGTTTTTACCAAAATTGTGTGGGGCTCATGTCTTTAATGTATTTTTATTATAATGCGACATTATAAGAAACTGGTAGTGATACTGGTGGATATTTGCTCATTACGAACCAAATGATTGTCCTACATTTGTTAATGTCTGGTAAAACCTTCACAGTGAGGTCAAAATTCACTACAGCAAACACCCCATTATTATTAATTCAAGCTACATGTTTTGATTTATGTTGATGATTTTACAGCCGATTTATGGCATAAACCATGCTTAAATTTACAATGGCTTGCGGAATTGTAAACAGTTTTTGTGTGGTTTTGTCTTTTTATAAGCACATGTCGAATATAATAAGGTTTTCTTTGAACAAAAATTTTGATATTGGATAATTAGGTAAGTAGTGGTGGATATAGAAAACAAAGATTTTCTTTTAACTAAATACAAACAAAAACTTACATTTTGACATCTCTTAGTTTTCTACATGCAGTATCACAAGCATATGTGAAGAGATTATTAGCGTATACAGCGTAAACAGCCTACAATATTGATTCATCTAGACTGGTAGCTACACAAGGACCTCTAAACACACGTATAACAACGTAAAGAGTTAATATATGCAATTTACACGAAACAGCGTCCAAAATTTGATACACAGTCCTTCCCTACCAGTAAATATACCGTCCTGTTCCTAATAAACGTATAGTTTAAATCTCGCTCAAACACCCTGGAATGAGGCACATGCAGCTTTAGGACCAATAACAGCATTGTGTTAGTTGCACCTCCATCACAATGCTGTTATTGTGACAAGTAGTAGCATCTCTAACAATAACAGCATTGTGTTAGAGGTGCAACTACTATTCACAATGGCAGTATTGTGTTAGAGGAGCAACTTCTAGTCACAATAACAGCATTAGTCACACAGAGTCATATATCAGGAGAAAATTTTCACTCTTGCAGAAAAAAAAGAAAAAAAAACACTAGGCTACGCAGGCAGCTTTCACAGTAGTTTGGTCTTGTAGATATTTAAAGTTTCTGCAAAGCATAAGTACATCTTCGTGTTTTTTTTCTTCACGTCCTTATTATTTTATAAGCGACAGACAATACATGTATAAACAGACATACGATATGACAAAGTGACCATGCAGTCGCACGAGTATGATTTACAATTATAGCAAAATCACAAAATAAGTTGATCAAATGAGATTGTACACCAATACCAAAAATTGTTTAATAGCCGTGTGGCTCGAATTTTAGAGTGTAGGTCGAGAGTTTGGGGATTTTCAGAAAATATAAGCTGTGGAAAGGTTATGTCTAAAGCGTTTAGATACTATTTAGGAGTTCACCTGTTTGTATCAAAAATTAGTCTGTATGGGGACTCAGGTTGGATACCACTAAAATTTAGCAGATAGCAAAGCATACTCAGACTTTGGAACACTTTAGTACTCACCCAAAATGAAAAACTCGTCAAACAATTATTTTTTGAAGCTTATAAATTAGGGAAAAATTGGTGCACCGAGGCCCTCAAATTCTGTGATATGAAAATTCATTTTTGAACAAATCAATTGTTGATATAGAATGCATGAAATGTCCCTTCTATGAAAACTTTAAAATTAAATGAAAAGAAAAAAACATTTTGAAATCCCTTAACTCCGAACATATATGGTATTTTAAAATAGAGCTAAAAACTAAAAAAATATTTAAACATAGACTGAAACAGGAAAGAAAAAACATTTTTAACATGACTGCGGATGGGCATTTTTACCTTCACATGTAGTAACTGGACGTTATACAAACACGCCTATTAATGAAAGAGTATGCCAACTATGCAAAAAGGAACGACAAGATGAGAGTCGATCATTTCTTACTTCGGTGCACTGCTTACGTAGAGGAAAGATATACATTTTATGAAAAGCTATCCAAATAAATAATATAAATAAAATTTGTATAGAAGATCTAATGGGAAAATTTGAGACAATTAGCAATTTTTGATCTAAGACAGAAAAAAATGCATGCAGCAGGTGTCTTTATGAGTGTTCTATGCACATGACATGTTAATAAATGATGATGATAATGTAGGACTTGTAACCCTATAGGTCAGTCACGCCAATGGTATTGATTAGTTTGCTCAAATTTGTCGTGAGACTTGTCATTGATTTCACACAAATACAGAACTAGATATCATTATTATTGTTCATACTTGTCATCCAAGTCTTCCAGATGAAGAAATATTAATAAGATTTGAGAACGGACTCAATAAAATAGAAATATGACTATTTGAATATGATCCTGAAACAAGTTAATAATAAATTTAACAACGTAATTTTAGAACTTGCACGTAGCACATAAAAGGCATAGTCACGCCATGGGAATGTAGCACCAAATTTTACCAGATGTGACAGGTTTTCTTTATAATCAAGCCTACAATGCCTAAAAGATAAAATGCACACTACACAAGTAATTCGAATTAACTTTGTTTATTTAAATAATATATGTAAATATACAGACCTCATAACAAAGGGTGTCAGTTTTTCTTGCTCAAAATCTGTAATTTTAATCTTAATGATTCATTTAAATACTTTAATTTTCTCTATGACATTAGAAAATGAACTTGATTCGGAACATGTTAGACGTCTGCTCTCTCTCTACTTGCTCTATAACACACTCTTCTCATTTCACGTTATCTTTTATAATGTACCTTAAGTATTTATACTCATTTAATTAGTGAAATATTATCTCAATAGGTAGATTATAATTGAATCCAGTAGATTGTTTTGAACCAATCAAATATGTTAAGAAAGCAACCGTCTTTAAACGATTATAATTGAAGTCGTTATATCTAGCTGAATGTATCGTTTAAAAATAACCGAAATTTAAACCGTTTGAATAAGTTAAAAGGCCAACTGATTTTGATACAGTTAGGTCAATTAAATATATAGTCGGATGTATATTGGCCAGAGTGATTTGTTCAATATTAAACGTATTTTCGGTTAGGTTTAACTGATCAGTTTTAAGAGTGGAGAATAAAAGGAGAATTGGAATAAAAGTTCAATGACATAGCGTTGTACTGAAGATGGAATTTTGATTTTTTTTTCTCTGTATTTTCGACATGATCCTAGTGTATGTATATGTCTTCCTATAGAAAGAAAACCTTTTTTATTTCAGAGAAAACAAGACTTTTGAATTCGAGAAATGGCAATAAACTTTATAAACTTTAAACAGACATAACAATATGATGGCTAAATATCTAGGCTTATGGAAATTTGCCGTAACAACTTTGCTAATGTGGATAACATTGTACTATTCAGTCAGATATGTCTTCGAAACGAGATTATCGTGTTGTACTAATAACAGCCATCATTCTCCATTTTCTTCGAAACAGGACTTGTCTTATTTCTATTTATCTAACAGCACAGAAAACTCAGACATCGGGAAAGCTGTTACAAACTTGGTTTTTTTAAAAACACAAAAGGTGGCAGGAAGTACAGTGCAAAATATTTTAATGCGTTTTGGCTACGCCAGAGATTTGGTCTTTATGCTAGGCGCAAAAAAGAATTTGTACAAAGTGGGCCAATTTCCTGATCTCTTCAGCCCATCCTTCATTCTACGCAGTGCATCTGGGTTGTTCAACATTTTATGTCACCATACACGTTTCAGTCAAGATATTAAAAAGGTAATGCCATCAAACAGTATTTACTTCACCATTCTTAGGGACCCAATCAGCACGTTTGAGTCACTTTTCTCTTTTCTCGATATAAGTGAAATCCTTGGATTTAAAGACTCCGACGGGATAGAAAGGTTTTTCGAAATGCCAGAAATATACAACAACATTTTAAACGTATCCGTCAGTTTGAAAAATACATTTTTGGCAGATTTTGGTCTAGATATCACCCTGTCTGACAACTTCAGTGCCATTTATGAAAAGATTTTAGAAATTGAAGAAAATTTTGACTTTGTTATGATAACTGAATATTTTGACGAGTCCTTGGTACTTTTGAAACATTTGTTAAACTGGTCTTTTGCTGATATTGTCAGTGTCAGATCTAATGCTCGTCCAAAAAGGCAACACGTACGTCTTACTTTAGACAATATTGCCAAAATCAACAAATGGAATGCAGGTGATCGAATACTTTACGACCATTTTAACCGAACATTTTGGAGAAAGGCTGAGCAGTTTGGTCTTGTTAGACTCAGTGAAGAAGTAGAACAGCTTCGGAAGCTCAACACGTACTGGGATCGTGTGTGCTTTGACAAGAACAAAGTTTTAGAATTGAAACGTCGAATACCGGGGCACCCGACGACTGACCGAGAAGTGACTTTACCAAAACTCAGCAAAGCAGGTTCCAAAATAGAAAAATGTGTTCAGATGTCATTGTTCAGCCAAGATTTCACTGATATTATCTATGCAAGTATGAGGGAGAAAGGTCAACTTTTAGATGAACGTTCTCCGAAAAAGCATTTCTTACGAACGATTACAGAGAGGCCTAGGGAATAAGGTAAGCGGAATATGCCCGCTGGCAACGATGATCACAAAAATTGAAGATGAAAAGACATGATTTCACTGACATAATCTATGCGAGTATGAGGGAGAAAGGTCAACTTTTAGATGAACGTTCTCCTAAGAGACGTCTTTCGAACAATAATCGAGAAACCTGCTCAATGAAGTGTTTACAATGAGGACAAACAAATGATTCTAGGATGTATTTTAAGCACTGCATGTTTAAATGATTTATCAGTGTGTATATTTACCTTAGAGTCAAGATGATGTTGAAGTTATTGTATATATTTTAGATATTTGAATTCAATGAAATATCCGAACACGGCACTTTTACTGTTATTACTGTGCTGGAATATATTTGTCTCACTACATGCTTATATATACTCCCCTACCAAAATGTGTCACCCCTAACGCAATGCGTAAAGTGATACAAAAACCATGTCATGACCCAATGTTCTTTATTCAATTTCTAAAGGGAATCTTTTAATAAAAATTTACTAATTGTCATCATCATAATCAGCCTTTGTTGGCATTCCATTCAAACCTCGGCCTGTCACTTTTTCTCTTTATCGGGACACTTTGAAATGTTGAAGTAATTAACCCTGATTTTTCCCAGTCGCAGCTGGTAGCCCAGAAAAATAAGTTTCCTTTCTTTGATCTTGTTCAATAATTCGTACTTTAAGTCTGATTTCCTCTATAACACTGTCGTTCGTTCTTCTTTCCCGGCACGAGATGCCTAACATTCTTCGATAAATCCACATTTCAACGGCATCTATTCGTTTTTCCTCCTCTTTGACTACCCATCCTTCGCACCCATACATAAGCACTGGCCACATCAAGGTCTTCACTAGCTTCACCTTTAACACCGTTGTGATACTTCTGTCCTTCCATATTTTAACCATTTCGTTTGTTTTAGCGTTCGCCATACCGATTCTAATTTTAACATCCTTTGTTGAGTTTCCATATACCGTTTTACCGACCCAAACACCCCAAATGTTCACATCCTTCACCCTTGTCAGGGCCGACCTTAATTTCTGCTACCCTCTACCAGGGTGGCAGATTATACAGGGAAAAATGGGAAAATCCACCCTGTGACTTTTGGCCAGATGGAAGCAACTAAATCTGCCCGCGCGCAGATGGCATTGTACCCGCTATGTAGGGAGCTATTAAGGAGATTCCTAAATTAAGTTCAATATGTACTAACAAGCTATTCAGAAGGGGCTACTTTTATCTGTCTCAAAAGAGCAAGTGATTTAAATCAGAGAAATTAACTGTCTTGATTGCCGTCAAAGGGATTTAGCCTGGGTCTGTTAATGACAGTGCCTGAGCAGTTATGCAAACAATTACCAGCCGTGTAATCATCCTAGAGATTTCATTACACGGTCAGAGATAGTAAAATGACCGTCTATTTATCTAAAGACATATCGGTGAATATCCTGTGAAAAGTCAATCTGTGGCCCTGGTAGAGAGCAAATTTCTGCCTTGTTGCCTCCTAGTGTAATTGACTTTGTTTTCTTTGCATTCATGCACAGCTGCCTTTTTCTTCTGCCAGTGTCCACCTTTTCAACAAGCTCTCTCTTTTCTGTTCTCTAGGAGCGCTGTGTCATCTGCAAAACGCAGGTTTGATATTCGTTTTCCTATTAAGCCTAGTTCTTCGATGTCCACCTGTCTCATAATTTGTTCTGTGCACATACATAATACGCTAAACAGACGAGAAGAAGGAATGCAAAGCCTATGTATGCACAACAGAAAACTGGAGGAAGTAACTTCTGCAGAGCTACTCCCTTAAGTAGTGCGCACAACATAAATAGAATTTATTGGTCACAATAAAACGATTTATGTGGGATGAGATTATCAATGTTAAATATGGTTCTCAGGGAACTTGGCTCTTATAAAATAAGCTTCTCTATATTCAGTCAGGATGTCTCCTCTTTGTTTTTCGTACACTTATTAATTAAATACTTCAAGTGAGACACAATTATGGGGTGCAACCTGATTGGACAGTGCCACTTGGCCTCTGTGGAATCAGCCAATCAGAGGCATATGAGTTCAGTTATCCAGAGGAGAGGAAGGGCACTCTCACTTCTTCAGAAAAATTCTCAACTTTAAGTAGTTCAGCGTTCAGAAAGGAAAATTTTAAGTTGAATTTTGGAAAAGTTATTCAAACCTAGGACATAATAACGAAGGGACTGGTGTCGCGGAGCCAGATCAAAGGATAATCGGCTCAGCGTGAGCTCTTCTTGAAACCAGCTGCGTTCGGATCACGTGACCTCCCGTACAGGTAAAGTGCATATTGCGGTTGTCGATGATTTTTTGTGTCATTTGGACAGGTAGATGGCGATAACATGAAGCAGTCCTTTGGGTGAATGAGACAATAAACTTATTACATACTTTATAAAATTAATACATTTTTACTCTCAATATCGGTTCTTGTTGCAATATGGTACCACACACGCATTTGTGACACACAGAAATGCATCTGTTGGCCTTTTAATATACTGTTATCAAAGTTGACATCAACACTGCTGTGAAGTATATATATATATATATATATATATATATATATATATATATATATATATATATATATATATATGTTCATGTTACCGGCTAAAGTCTGCTGCAGTTTGAAAATGATAATTTATATTTTTTTACCCCCAATATCGGCTCTCGTTGCAAAATGGCATCACACGTGCATCAACCGCTACATTGCTTAAAAACCAGTTATATAAAAGCTCAACATAGATCATTACAGTTACTAGCAGTGTGTTACGGCATTATTGCTCTGTGACAGAAAGGTGCAAAACAGAAGACATTGCCAAGCAGATAATTGTGCCGCAAGGAACGCTTCCCACAGTCGGTCATAGGTATGCCCAGATTGGGGTATCTACACAGAGACCACACCTAGGGTATCTACAACTTACCAACATGCAGGAAACGGACTCCATTGTTCGGTCAGTTTTGCTGCTGCAATTAAGCCAAGACAACCCGTTCCCCTCAGACTGTGGTACGAACTGCCATCACTCAGTGTTTTTCAAGGCACTTTGTGACCACCTGGACCACCTGGCCTGGGCTGGTTGTAGCAGATTACTATGCCAGGCAACCTCTGAGGAACTCCTTGTGAACAGCGCAACATCCTCCTCTATTTCTTCTGTGAGTTGGGAACCATCGCCGTTTCTGGGCACAGCACTAGAATCGTATGTATTTACTTGTTAAGTCTGATTTCAGCTGTGGTTGATATGACCTGTAGGTTTTCAAAATACATGTAGAACTCACTTGCATCTCGAAGAGGTCTACGGCTAAGCGTATAGCGATTTGCATCGAGGAGGGGGGAGGGGGGGGAAGGGGGGTGCGGGGGGGGGGGGGTCATCTGTATTTGGGGCGGAATCCACGTTGGTGCCAAAGAGGGGGCAAATATGGGGATCGAAATTACGCCTTTAATGGCTGTTGTATGGCTTAGAATGAGCCATGTACTTTTGTTTGCTTAATAAGGTGAGTTCAATTAGAGAACTGATGTCACAGATACTGAATAGATTATTTAAAGTTGGTATGACACGATTAAATCCTTGTTTTCACTTATATTTCGGTAAAGTAGAAAAAAATCTCAGAAAAATTATTTGAAAAAAATTTCATGTTATATGTAAATCCGTAGTAATATGACAACAGGATTGGGAATATACAGGCCACTTATTATTTTGATAAATTCCCTAAGATTATGCCCCAAGGTGGGAAATTTTTCACTAGAAAAAGCAGTGAATATATTATAACATACACGTTTGCTGCGTGGATAAGACCAAAGAAATTGGAACGTATTTTATTTCAAAGAAGTGTCAGTACTTTGTGGGTTTACTGTTATTGCTGTTTAATGTAACTAGCTAGAGTAACTATTGTGTAAGCAAACAAAAGTGTTCTTTTTCAAAAATTCTATTATTAAATATTATTGAACACATTTTCTCAAATTATTGTTTATCTTCACATATGCATTTCCCATTATCTCAAAATCAATTGTATTCCACGAAATATTTAAATTATGCATATACGCCAGTGTCTCAGGGAAAAGAGCAATGATGAATGTAAAAGCTTGCCACTTTCAAATTAAATATTTCACTATACATTAAGTTCACTTACAACGTATAGAACGTTTATAATATAATGATAAACACAGTGAACCATTTCAAGTATGTAGCTGACTCGCAGCGACTCGGTCACCGTTCTACTCAAGTAAGGGATTTCTGCCGAAATCGACAGTGTGTTTTTAACCGTGTGCATCTCAGCCACTTGGAGTAAACATGCTTATGCTCACAAAGACTCCAAAAGCACACGCTGCATATGCCCATGGCATGAAAGATTGGTTACTACGAGAAACCTTGTCATTTCCATGTGTATCCCCTGTCGGACCTTCCGCATTTGTTTTTTTACCACTGATGCAGGTTTTTTCTTCATCGCGAACAACAACAACCTGATAAGTGGCATTATTAAATGTTACAAATTTGAGATTTGTACGTAGCTCAATGTCCACGCTATCTCTAAAAGATTCAAATACTTCCAAGCCCTCGCGATAACACCTTATCTTTTTCTGCAATCTCATCGGCATGAGGCGCATTGCTATAGCACCAGAACCGGGGCATTCTTTCCCAATGTCAATCACTGACAGCTCTGTGCAGGAGGAGAGTGTGCCAACCAGAAAACCCCATTCCCTGCTCTGTATTGCAGACATGACGGCGGCCGGAAACAGCTCTGTTCTATCGTGACGGAAAACTCGACAAACTCCACCAACTTGAGACAAATGAACGGGACCACTGGAAATAAGCGCCAGTTTCAAAGTGAAATCCATATTGAAGATCGATGATATTGGATTTGTACATTGGTCGTTTCCGTTGCTGCAGATGTCCTGTAATAAAATTTAACAAGTTGTGGAATATAGAGCAACTGATTATGATTATAGAGAAGCCACTTTCAAGAGAAGCATATATTCAAACGTCAAACACAAACTCAAC